TATGGAAAATCATATTAACATGCTTTGCAAGGCAATTTTCCTAGAGCTGCGCAGGATTAGTCACATCAGACCTTTCTTAACGTTAGATGCATCAAAGAGGCTGATGTCTGCATTTGTGTTATCACGCATGGACTACTGCAATGCTCTCATGGTGGGTCTCCCAGCTACGCTCCTGGATAAAATTCAAAGAGCACAGAATAATGCGGCTCGCATTGTTCTTCGCAAACGCAAATTCGACCATGCTAAAACACTTCTGAGGCAGCTGCACTGGCTGCCGGTCCGCGCTCGCACAGAGTACAAAATTGCAACTTTGTGCTACCGCTGCTTACATGACCTGGCGCCAACTTATCTCAAAGCACTCATGACGCCTTATGTACCCACTAGAGAGCTCCGCTCATCCGATAGTGGCAAAATATCGATACCGTGTGTTCGCCTTGAGACTTACGGAAAGCGCACTTTTGCATTTGCTGGCCCAACAATTTGGAACGCACTTCCAATCGCTCTCAGAAACAGCCAGACACTGGAGTCCTTTAAAACCGATTTAAAAACACATCTTTTTCGCAAGCACCTTCTGGGGTGATGCTATCTACCATCTTTTTCAATTAACGTATATTGGCTTGTGTTGCTTATGGTTGAAACGGGATGAAAGACTTTGACTTGGTATGCTCGTATGTAGCTTTATATTGTTGCGTCTGTTTTTAAATGTGGTAAAGTTTAGATAGTTTTTATTTCTCTTTTTAATATGGTTGACTTTGTACCGCGCTTCGAGCTTTTGGGGATGAAGCGTATTTTTCAAATAAACTTTATTATTATTATTATTATTATTATTATTATTATTATCTTTCATGCAGCGCAGTCTCACAGACTAAATCTACACTTAAATCATACAAGCAGGGGCAGTTCACACAGTGGACATAGACAGAGCCCTAACTTTATAAACACAATACCAGAATCAGAAAACAAGAATAAACACACAATAAGTCTAGTATTACTTTCACAATTTAGAAGCCATCAATGTACTATGGCATCACATGACTTGAGGCATTTTTTTCCTCACACATATTATTGAACGAACATTGCATTAGAAACACTTTTTTAAAGATTTAAAATACAAAACGTAAGTTAAGAAAATATAATTATAGTATAATATTAAGTGGTCAGTAAGAACTTAGAGGTTGGGGGTGGGAAGAAGAGTTCAGTTGAGCAGCAAACCTTGGTAAGGGGTGTAGGGCTGGGGAGGGGGGGCTGTTTCATAAGTTGCCATAATTACTATTTACAAACAATTACATATACATTTTTTAATGTAACAAAGTTACTTAATAAACTAAATTTAAAAAATGTATCCTAGTTCCAACTGATGGATTTATCTTGTTCAAAAATTGAGCAAGCACCTAAATTTATTTACAAAAAACATTCTGTAAGTATATTATTTTTAGTACATAATTGATAACATTTCTGTAGTTACAATTTAGGTATTTTTTGCCTGTAAATATGTTGTTAAATTACTATCTGTTTATTTATCCTGTAGATAAGTTATAACTTTACATTTTTTTTTAAATTTTGGTTTAATCACAATCATGTATAGACGGCGTTTTAAAAATTGTGTTGGTAAAAAAAAATAATAATAATAATAGAATTTTTTTTTTTTAAATAAAATAAAAATATGAACACATTAATCATGTATACAAATTTATTTTGAAACTATTTTACAAACATTTGTTTAAATACAATTGATATATTGAATACTTCAACACCATATTTAGTTTAAAAATGATAATAGTTTTAAAAAATTATAATATTGAGCAAGAGTTTAAAATATTTATGACACTTAACAACAAATGATAATGTAATTTTTTTTTAAAAATAAAATATATAAGTTCTGAGTTAACTGGAAAAGGAAAAAACGGTTGGAGGGTAAAACTCTAATGGGAGGTAAACTATAACCTATGGAACGGTGTATAGGGAAATCCGGTCCTGTAAATTGTCCATTAACTTTTTCTAATTTTTTTGCAGTCAGTCTCCTGATAATCTTTAGTAAGCCGATTAATCGGCCACAAAATCCAGTCACCGATCATTTCCCGATCAATCGGTGCAACCCAACTGAATATCTAGAGTTCAAAACAATCATATCAAACAATTATAGCACTCCCGTTTGAAGAAAGTTTTTTTATTTAATTTAAATACATAATGAAATCACCGGGTTGACCTTTTAGAATAGCCGGTGCGCAGTGAAACGTGTCCAGGGTTTATTTTGTTGGGCGTGGTGGCGTTGACCTTGTTTCGCGTGGCCATGACAACACGGATGTCGTCATAACAACAGAGCCAGGCGTCATTTGAAGAAATGCGACCACAAGGACAAATGTGTGACCTGGATTATTATTTTTTTTTATGCGATGTGTCTTTAAATTGTCAGCACATTTGTGGGTTTGTATCCTGGAGCGCTTCTTGTCTCCGTGCAAGGGTGAACTGGTGCGCAAAACCGTCTATTACTTCAATCTGACATCTGGAGCAGGGGTTCTCTTAAACCACGGATTGGGGGACACTTGGTATCATAGATATAAAACATGTGACACCTCCCTCTGAATTCTCAACCCAAGCGTAATATCCCGTCAGGGGCGCAGTTTGGTTTATGGCCACCCGGTGCGGACCATGTTTTTAACGCACCCCCCCCCCTTTTTTTTTTCCACAAGAAAAAACAACTGTGCAGTTAGCAGACATTAAATATGAAGTAGTCACCCTTGACTAGAGCTGTATTTTGTTCAAAATTCAGCAGACTTACTCTCTCGTCCTGGCCTATGTGATCCAATGGCAAGACTTAGTCAAGAAGACTCAAGATAGACCCGGATACTGTCAATGGCCAGCAGTGTGTTTGCCCTGGTCATCTTCGCGTGCATGGGCGCCCACAGGTAGGGGCAAGGTGGGGCACTTGCCCCCCCCCTGGATTGATTGGATAAAAAAATTTTAGACAAAAATAGACAAAAAAAGTATTAAAGTAAGAGAAAATAAAGAGAAAGTAACTAAGCTGATGTCCTGTCCGTTCGTTCACCATACAAATACGCTACAGTAAATTAAAACTATATTAAAACATTACTAAAAAATGTTGGCCCCCCACCCCCCCTGGAAAGTTAATCGATTTTTTGCCCGCCCCCCCCCCCTAGAAAGTTTTGTGCGGGCGCCCATGTTCGCATGCGAAGTACGAACATATCAATAATAATAACAATCTGTCTGTACCTTTCCTACACATTTACAGTGTCTGTCTAAACTAAACAGACTATTTTTTTCATGCCTTATGTTTTTTGTGTACATTTGAGCGCCATTTTATGAGTTTATGTTTGCCTCTTGCAGAAAAAGAAATATCGCATTTATGTTTTTAGACAATGTTAATTATGTGTTGTTCTTTTGTTTCAACAACTTATGATGTTGAGTGATAAAATTATGAATTGTGTAGTCCCCATGGTGTTTTGATAGTGATTTATTACAAATTTAAATTTAATAATATTTCTTATGAATTAAGAAAAAAACTTGTCGCCCTAGGCGGACACCGCCCCCTCCGCACCCCACTTACCACGCCACTGTTCGCAATGTGTTTTATTGGCGGCTTCCATTAAATTTAGAGTTACAGTGGGCTCCCGGAATTATAATATAGAAATTAACGCGAACAACTCAATCTCCTGATAGTTAAGTCACAGTCCATTCATAACGGTACATCACAGCATGTGTACAACGTGTGCACTTAATGAATGAAAATGTGCTCGCCATTTGTCTAGAAAAGATTCTATCAAGTGAAGATTTAGATTTGATGACACCTATTGATTGAACGGGAAAGTATTGGTCACTAGCTATGGAAGCGTTCGTCCGGCAGTAACAATGTGACTGAATACACGACCCCGACCCTAATGCTCCTTCACATTCACTTATAATCTTTACATTTCAGCCACCCTAAAAAATATTTTTGAGAATCCTTGAACAAACGACCCGATCCTAATGCCCCGTTAATATCTTCTTGGTATGGTTGCATGCCGGTATCCCTAAGAAATTTTTGAGACTCCTTGAACAAACGACTCGCGCCTAATGGCTCTCAACATCTACTTTCTATGTTTACATTCCAACCTCCCAGAGAAAATTTTGAGACTCCTTGTATTTCTCCGAATCGTTAAGTCCATTAATTAAGGTCGTACGGTGCTTTCCAGGACTTGTACTCGCTAACCGCTAACCTCATTTGTTCATTTCCAGTCAGCAGGTTTCTTTCAAATGGAAAATTTCACGTCATCGTGGTATGAGCTAATCTCTGAATTAATTGTCACACACAAAAAGCATGACAATGCCATTTTAAGGGAACTTGTTTAATAGTCAAGCGATTATTCATTATCAGTTAAGAAAATGTTTCCAAATTTAAAAAAAATACTAATAATTCATATATTATAACTTAATACCTTTTAGACACCGTTAATCTGAAGCTGGAGATTTGTGTTAGAAATCTTCTGACAGCTGACAGTCGGGGGACTCAATATACTGGCGAGATTCGGATAAGAAAAGTGGCCTTTAAGCTCGCCTCCCCAATAAGAACAAACACCTTGTCTCCCCTCGGAGGGGAGGTAAGTGGCATGGACAGAGCAATACGAAAAGCATTTTTTTTAAAACAACTCATATACCAAGATTCATATTTTTTAATGTGAATTTTGACTCCAACTCCAGTGCACCGGTGGCATGTGCACCGGTGGCATGTGCACCGGTGGCATGTGCACCGGTGGCATGTGCACCGATAACAATGATGTAAACGTTTCAATCGAATAACTCTAACATCCACCCATGTATGTGTGTGTCTGTTGTGTGAATGTGTGGACAAAGTTGGTCCTGGTGTAATATAGGTAGTTAATATGATAACGACTTAGAAACAATAACGTTCAAATAAAAGTCTTGAACTAATTCTCCTAAATAAATGTTGATTTCGATAAAGCGGTTGTACAATAAAGGGAAGGGTGGGGGGGATATATTTCTATTTTTGGGAGGAAGTTAGAATAATAAGTTGTGAGCTGTCAACTGTCACAACAGGATTGTTTTTTAATGACTTCATGACATCATCACTCAACTTTCATTCTGACCGAAGCTGTCGTCCATCTTTCAGCCAATCCCAAGGGAGGAAATACCAGAGAGTTTCCCCGTTCTCCGTCCCTTATAAAACACGGAGTTATCCCAGCAGAGTTATCCAACATCTCCACATAGATCCAATAACCTGTCACCACTTCAGAAAGAAGTTCACACGTCTAAGATACTAAGTGAGTGCACGATGCAGCTTTGTGGGAAATTTTTTTATTGTTTCGTTACATGTTAAATGTTGACCTACTATTTATTAAATTTCTGGATTATTTTTTTTTAACAATTGTTTACTCAGGTATATTTATTAAATAGTTTATACAAAGAAAGACAATGTTTTTTTTTAAAGTCCTTTTTGTAAAGCACACTTGGCCAGACTAATCGCTTTAATTAATAACAACTTATTATTTCGATGTTTTAATCAGTTTCTTACGTGGAGAATTTTTAAAAAATTAAAAACATTCTTTTGGAATGAATAATATTAAATATTTATTAGGTGTAGTGTAGTAAAATTTACTTATGAAAATTAATTTTTAAATAGGTTTTAAACTTAAAATTCCATCAAGAATGGGTCCAAATTTTCAGCTGACTTCAAAAAGTAACAGATGCAAACATAATTATGTAATAATAAAAATATTTTAAAAAACGAAAGGAGCAAAGTATGGCATCCATAATAGTAAAGATATTCAGCATTTAAAATTCAAATAATCGACCTTTCTAAAAAAAAAACAGACGTTATGTGCAATTTAATGGTTTTGTGTGAATTCTTTGAGCTCTCATTTAAAGTGATCCATTGAGGTGGTCAGCAACGTGCATGAGAAAATGTTTTTTTTAAAAAGGTTAAAAAAAAGAAGAAAAAAATGAGGAAAAAAAATAAAACGTTCATTAAAAAACTAATGTTTGATTGTTGATGAATGTCACATCTGAAATGATTGTTGATGAATGTCACATCTGAAATCCATCTTTTTGGTCATTGTTGGCATTTATAATCCGTCTTGTATTATACTCGCTGACATATTGTAATGTTTTAATTTAATTGCACAATCTCCACACTGATAAGCTAGAACGACTTGTGCAAAAAAAGGACACATCTTCAATTTACATTTACAAATGAGTTGAATGCTGGCAACAATTGTCGGCCAGATGAAAATATTTTTATTTAGTTCAATAATCAAATAGCCTTTAAAGTATTCACTTTGCCCATTCATCTTTGTTTCCTAGGTGCTGAATGTGTTTTCTCATTCCTTTAAATTTTTTAATTGAAAGTATTTATTTGTAAAATTAATTTTTGACAGAACAAAATGGCGTTCATTGCTCTCTTGGCTTCTGTTCTTGTCCTTGGTGAGTAGTTTACGTTACATAATATGTCACATTTCTGATATAATAAGCCTTACAATTTCGTATAAGGCATTTATTTCAATAACACGGACTTTTTTTAAAAAAATATTTAGTTTTAAAACATTTAGTTCGACCTTTTAAAAAGAAAATTTTGGAAATGATTGAGATGAAATCTTAATCAAAACATTTAAAATAACAGCAGAGCCCAGTTTGTGACAATGGTCCATGGTTCAGCTTACATTCAAAGATTATTTTAACACCAAAAATAAACCAAATTAAAACATATCCAATCAAAGACCGTAGATGTAAAAGGAATAAATGATTAATTTAAATGATTTTATTTGCCCTAATGAAATAAAAACAAAGAAGATGAATAAGGAATTGAGCATTTTCAAATTTTTAAATTCCCTTTTATTTCAGCCGTTCCTACCTTCCAGCAGCCACAAGGGGTAACAGATTTTATTTTTCTACAACCTTTTTTAAAAATGAATATTTTGTGGTTTGTGCATGTGATGTTAACATTGCGGATTACTTTGTTTCGATGTTGACATCAAGCAGAACAAAAATCGAACCCATTGATAAATTTTTTTTTTTTTTTAAATAAGTACACGGGCGTTAAGTCTAAGCTTACCATGGGTCCCGGTTGTGAATCAGCTTCCGGATCAGTTGGAATGTTGGTTTTGCAGGCAATGATGTGTCCCTTCTGTTTTAGTTAGTATCGAACACATTGATCATATCAGAAGTTGTTTCATCAATTAACATTCTATTTGAAAGATTGCCAAGGTCAAAGGTTGTATTGCTTATCGCGGTTCTATTTAAAAAAATAAGTCAAAGCGTGCATTTTAGGTCTCTGTAACTATCAGGCCTGGGTCAAACGTTTCACCATCACATCTATCCCCCCCCCCACTCCACGACACAATTCTAAGAGCATAAAAATGTTATAAGCTAAAACAAATTACGCACTGTTATCTTCTCATAACTTCAATAAATAATTCAGTACTTAGCTTTCCCCCCCCCAAAAAAAAGTATTTTTTTAGATAATAGCTAGAATGAAAGTATGAGGATCATTTCTTTTCCCAAACACCCCATTCCACTCGATGGTGCTTTCAGAACTTGCGTGATACCCAAATGCCGAGCCTTAATAAAATTACTGCCTAAGGGCAATGCCCTTAAGTTGCATCCTCCACCAAAAAAATTGAGCTGGTTATTGTGTTCAAAAATTTTACCAAGTAGGGCCAACCGGAAACGGCACTCGTTATACCTGCTCACATAGGTCTCGATTTCCCCACTTAAGGTTTGGTAAGCCTAATGATATAAGAAATGATTTAATCAAACTAAAAGCGACTACGCTTAAAATGATTTCGTCTTTGTAACACAACGCCCGACTAAATGAAATGGGCTTTATTTTTAAGTCACCCATTCTTCTTGGTACCCTATGCCACAGTGCTGCCATATCCCGTAATACAAAATAAATTTCTTCGTTTCAACTATTTCAGGGCTACGTTGGTGGTCTTATCGACACAATGTAAGTTGACATTTTTTAGGATTTTCAAAGTTTTGTTAACCTTAAAAGGCAATTTTCTTTTCTAAGCCCACCTGAAGTTCATATTATGGAATGCCTATCTTATAACTATGAGACAATATCGAAAAATGATCACATCAGCGATCGTAAATCTCATTTCAACCATGATGTGATCACATCAACGAAATCGCCCTCCTCTGCTGGAAGCAACATCACTCAGGAATTTAATCATTTTCTTTCATTTTCCAGCCAACCCGGCAACTGCTATGACCGCTGTTATTTGGCCTACCAGAAAAACCCCAGCAGCTACTTCGTTTCCGGGTGTGTCTGCAACCAATACAACTTTCCTGGCAATGGCCCCATTGGTGGCGGCCCAATCGGAGGAGGAAATGGTTTGTTCAAAAATTTTATGTCACTTCCATTGTTTGTTTGTTTGTTTGTTGTTGTTTTTTTAATTCTTAATTTTTTCTTTATCTCATTTTTTAAAATTATCACCTCTTTTAAATTTAAAAAAAAATAAATCTGTTAACTTTTCATACCTCTTTTTTTTTCTTTCTTATTTTTCGTTAAATGCTATCTTCAAATACTTCCAATGAATACGTTAATAAATTTGTTTTGTTTTGTTTAAAAAACGTTACATTCCTTTATTTGTTTTTTTTGTTTTTTGTTTTTATTGCCGTTATCGCAACCTCATCGGTAATTAAAAACATCCAATATTTGTTTTATTCACACTGACTGGCGCACCTTATATCGTCTGTCCATCCATAGGCAACTGTGGTTACCTGGCCGCCAACTGCCGTGCCAGCCCTGGCGAGTACAACGCCGTCTTCGCCTACACTTTCGACACAAATACCCAGGCTTGCGTGAAAGTCAGCGTCTACAACACTTGCGTCAACGGCTACGGTGCTTCCAGCAACATTTTCCAGACCCTCCAGGCGTGCAACGTGGCTTGCAACTACAACAAGGGATATTAAGCGCATGGTTTCAATATTTTAAAATTAATGTTGATCTATAGATTGGAAACCTCATGTACGCCATAAACCAAATCTGAAGTTAATCTATCAATATTAGAATTCTAAATCGGTTTAATTATTCAATAAACATTTTTTTTTTAAACACCTTCATTGTCACCAGGAAATAACAAAAATTGTAAAAAAAGAAATAGCATCTTTAACATTAAACTAATTTAAACATAAAAATTAAATTGAACGAATTTGAAGAAGAGCAAATCATTTACATTTTGATGCAAATCCATATTAAAAGAATGCATCAAAACTACATCGTTGGAAACCAACAAACGTCCTTTCTCTGTGATAAAACTAGTGTGTATGCCTGATTGAGTAGTTGTTTGAAATGATTACAGTCATGTGTTAACGCGTTTGAATTCCATCGTGAGCACTTTGAGACTTGAGTGCTGACGTCATGATTATACTGTAGACAACTCTAAATGGTGTTTGCAATGAACTATGCCCAAACCACGATGTAGCAAATTAAACACTCAAAAGAATTATATCAAGTGTTCAGTTTTGGTTTTCTTTTATTTTATTTTAATTGTGCGTCGTAATTATGGACAACTCATTCATCGTTGTTGATATTATTATTATTACTTTTATTATTATTATTATTATTATTATTATTACTATTAGTGATCTTATATAGCGTTGTACCCCTATGGCTGGGCTCACCGCGCTGTACATAAAAATATTATTAAACATATTCATGAAATTAAAAAATAACCTACATTTATTTAATTAAAAAACAGCTATATAACAACAAAACGAAACAAATGTATATTCACCCCACCCACCCCAGGACTCTTAGATGTCAAGCCATGGACGGCAGCCAGCAGCATCGTTTATCGGCCATTGGGGGGAATCATTCAGGATAGTAGAGGTTAAAGAGATGTGTTTTGAGTGCAGTTTTGAAGACCCGGATGGTCGGTATATTGCGGATGTGTAGTGGGAGAGAATTCCATTGTTTCGGGGCGCAGAAAGAGAAAGATCATTCACCTTATGGTTTAGTGCGTGTTCTGGGAACAGAAGGAATACGCGTGTCTGCTGAGGAACAAAGGTTTCGAAGGGTTGAAAGAAGTTCAGTTAGATAGGAAGGGCAGGAACCAGAGAAAAAGTTGTGACAGAGAACAGACATTGCTTGTAATCAATGCGTGCCTGTATGGAGATCCAATGAAGTGAGTGAAGTAGTGGAGTGACATGATCACTTTTATTTGCATTTAGAACTAACCTAGTGGCTGAATTTTGAGCTTTCTGCAGTTTTTCTATGACATATGATTTTCTTTATCTTAGACACTTCGATGGGAGCTGTAGCACTGGTAAACGGGGATCTCTTCCGTCTGTGTTCTAAATGACTTGCAGATCCGTCTTAGGGTGTAATGAATTGTCAAGTCATCTGCCATAAGCATCTCTTCTCAGATGTCCCGTGGCCTAACACTGATCGGCTTTTGAATGCCCCCCCCCCCTCTATATCATGGGTGATAATCATAACTAAAACAATGTTTAGCTTTTGAATGGCTCCCTCTGTTGAGTATGGGAGTTCATTAATAATTGTTGCGACTGAATATTATGTTTCATTACGCGCCGTGTGTGTTTGAGTTTCATTAGTTGGTGAACGCTCTTCCCGCGCTCAACTTTTTTTAATGCATTTTTATGCTTATTATGATGTTTTGTCTTAGTCTGTTTTGTGGCTTAGTTTTATTCGTCTGGCAGTCTTGAAAGGGAATTTGAGAAGGGAGGTTGTGTTTTATTTCGGTATCATAGCGAGCTGCGCTATGCATGAGTTTATGGAATTAACAGCCTGTGTATATAATTAGATATTAAAGTTACATTTATTGTGATAAATGACTTGAGTTGATTCAGAGCTAGTACGACGTATTACAACGCGTGAGAGAAATTGATAATTTAAGTTTGACACCCACTTTTCTTTATGGGAAAGGAATTTTTCAAACATGTCCTCCTGCAATTTGACTTCTGCTCTACCTTGGGATTGTATTATCTTCTCTTCTTTGATCCTGGCTCTGACCATTTCTTTGGTTGGGGAGGGGGGGAGGGTGTCTTTTAGGTGTCACGTAGTGCAATGTCCTTGAGTTCTTTAGCGACTGTCTCTGACTCCTCTGTAAGTTTCGCTACATAGTCTCTGGCAGCGTATTCTTTATTCATTTATCCCTTTGTCTTTATTTTATGTCTCTCTCTCCCCCTATCCTCTCTCTCTCTCTCTCTCTCTATCTCTCTCTCTCTCTCTCTCTCTCTCTCTCTCTCTCTGTCTCTCTTGTGGATGTAGAGTCTGATATTCTTTTCTTCTCCTTTCTTCAAATTGTTTCTTCTTATTTTATTCGATATCAATTCGTTCTTCTTGTCTTCTATATCCCCCGACGAATCCCTTACGTCGAAGTGCAAATAATTAGTGTTATCTCAAACCCACTGGCACCAAATAATTAGTGTTGTCTCAAACCCACTGGCACCAAATAATAAGGTGTTGTCTCAAACCCACTGGCACCAAATAATTAGTGTTGTCTCAAACCCACTGGCACCAAATAATTAGTGTTGTCTCAAACCCACTGGCCCCAAATAATTAGTGTTGTCTCAAACCCACTGGCACCAAATAATTAGTGTTGTCTCAAACCCACTGGCACCAAATAATTAGTGTTGTCTCAAACCCACTGGCACCAAATAATTAGTGTTGTCTCAAACCCACTGGCACCAAATAATTAGTGTTGTCTCAAACCCACTGGCACCAAATAATTAGTGTTGTCTCAAACCCACTGGCACCAAATAATTAGTGTTGTCTCAAACCCACTGGCACCAAATAATTAGTGTTGTCTCAAACCCACTGGCACCAAATAATTAGTGTTGTCTCAAACCCACTGGCACCAAATAATTAGTGTTGTCTCAAACCCACTGGCACCAAATAATTAGTGTTGTCTCAAACCCACTGGCACCAAATAATTAGTGTTGTCTCAAACCCACTGGCACCAAATAATTAGTGTTGTCTCAAACCCACTGGCACCAAATAATTAGTGTTGTCTCAAACCCACTGGCACCAAATAATTAGTGTTATCTCAAACCCACTGGCACCAAATAATTATTGTTGTCTCAAACCCACTAGCACCAAATAGTTAGTGTTGTCTCAAACCCACTGGCACCAAATAGTTAGTGTTGTCTCAAACCCACTGGCACCAAATAATTAGTGTTGTCTCAAACCCACTGGCACCAAATAATTTCTATCGCAATAGCAAAATCTTTCATTGTCCTGTGCTTCTTCGAGCCGACATGAAATGGCTTCCTGTTGTAAGAGGTCCATTCCTTCCTGCTTTAACAGATCCATTCCTTCCTGTTGTAAGAGATCCATTCCTTCCTGCTTTAACAGATCAATTCCTTCCTGCTTTAACAGATCCATTCCTTCCTGTTATAAGAGATCCATTCCTTCCTGCTTTAACAGATCCATTGCTTCCTGTTGTAAGAGATCCATTCCTTCCTGCTTTAACAGATACATTCCTTCCTGCTGTAAGAGATCGATATCTTCCTGCTTTAACAGGTCCATTCCTTCCTGCTGTAAGAGATCCATACGTTCCTGCTTTAATAGATCCATTCCTTCCTGCTTTAAAAGATCCTTTCCTTCCCTGTAAGAGATCCATTCCTTCCTGCTTTAACAGATCCATTCCTTCGTGCTGTAAGAGTTTCGTTCCTTCCTGCATTAACAGACCCATTCCTTTCTGATGTCACTGATTCTCTCCTTCATGTTGTCACCGATCTAATGCGTCCTCCATCACTGAGCCTTCGCGTCCTGCTTCCCTGGTCGGGAGATGTTGTGAGAATGTCAGACGACCGCTTGCCCATTAGAATATTCTATGGTGAGCTCGGGCATGGAAGACTGTTTGCTGGTGGGCAGAAGACATGGTTTAAAGACATACTAAAATTGTTTTTAAATCCAAAAATGAAAGCGTTCGATATAGACCCGGCATATGGGAAATAACAGGCAAAGGATCGAGCAGCGCGACGTCCCTCTGTACACAAAGGCTCCATACCACATGAAGCCAACAGAACAGCGGCTGAAGAGCACAGAAGACATGCCAGGAAAGTCTGGGTTAACTCTGCACCTGGAGATGCCCCATCGATCCCCCCCCCCTGCACTTACTGCACAGGAACGTATCGTACCAGAATCTGTCACATCTGCGCACCCACAGCCAAAGTTCAGGAGTAGAAACCAATACGGTGACTAAAATGGTCGTGGTCGATTTCGACTGACCAACTATATATAATATATATACTTCTTACAGCCACTGATCCTTTACATCCTGCAGTCAGTGATTCTTCCCTCCCTGTTCTCACACGCTCGTTACTTCCATGTTGCCACTGATCTCTTCCTATACTGTGTTCAAACTTAACTAAGCTGCGTGACGTAATTGTTCTGTGACAACCGATACGGCTTATGATACCGGTATTTTGTTATTATGAAATTACTTTACAACATTGAAATGTGTATTTTTTACATTCATTCTACATATAAGGAATAGAAAGGTGAAGCAAATGGATCATAAATTGGAACTGTAAAATTTCAGGGAATAAAATGACGAATCATTAAAAAATAACGCCGAAAATTGGTTAGAACAAAACAAAAACCAATGAAATATTATTTTTTTTTAAAAAGCTTTTAAATTAATATAACATATCAAATAATTCGTAATAAATGTTCATAGATAGCATTTGTTTTACTTGTGTCGCCTGTCCAATTATTCAAGAGATAAAATTACGCAAAGGACTCTGGGGTCGCGGATTTACATCGACCGATGACGAGACTCCATCAATGTACGACCCGGGTTTCGCCTGGAAGTAATCGACTCCTCGCCTCAAACCCATGTCCTCTATAACACCCAGGTCCCTGACCTGGAGAGATCTTAGCGATCCCAACTCCGCTCCCGAACGCATGTCGGGTTTCGCGACGGGCAAATCCCGTTTCTCCTCGATCGCGTAAATACTGGAGTGGAACTCGTTATACAAACCACGCAGTGCGGGCTTCCACCTGTGTGGCGGTCTGCGAAGCATCAACATGTACACTGATCTGTACTCCTTCATATACAGTGCGTAGATCGGCACGTTGACCACGGAGTTCGTGAAGGTCAGCAGAAGAGTGAAAACCCTCATGATCTCGATGTTCTTTTGGGAGAACACGTTGTAGTACTTGAAGGGCGCCACCACCATGTACGGGGTGAGCAACACGATGAACAGAAGCATCAGAAACGATGTCATCTTGACAGAGCTCATACGGTTTTTGAATTTTCGAATCTCTTCTGGATTCAAGCTTGAGATCGTGCTTCTAAAAGACCGAGCCTGTCTCTGAGAGACGATTATTATGTGGACGTAGAGAATGGTGCATATCAGGAGGGTGGTTAAGACGCTGCCGAAAGTGGCAATGATGACGTACACTTTAGTCAAGGTCACGTGAAAGTTGCAACGCGCCGTCAACGGCAGGAGTGTCGGGTCGTACTGGTTCCAATCAAGCAGTATCGGCGCGAAGCCCAGAAGGAACAAGTCGCACCACAAACCAATAATTGCTATGATTGTTCTGGGCACCGTCACGATCTGTTGGTACCTCAGTGGCCACATCACGGCGATGTAACGGTCGACGGTGATAAAAAACAGGCTGAGTACTGAGCCGCCAAGGCCGATCTCAATCGATGCAAACCAGGTCAGGCACACGTACTTGTTGGTAAAGACGAACTTATACGTGTAGGGGAGGTAACTGAGTATATACATGGGTAAACAAAAACATCCGGTCAAAAAGTCCGCTATGGACAGGCTAAGGAGTAAATAGTTGTTTGGATTGTAAAAGCCTGGGTAGAGCAAGGTTCCCCAGAACACGAGAGTGTTAAAGCCAATGATGATAGGGATGTATGCGGCACAAACGCCCACCAGGATGTAGTGGGCTAGAACGACATCCTTATGTTCAAGGAACAGTAACCTGGTGTCGACGGAAGAGTTCTCCCCATGGCCAATCAAGAACATAATATCCATCTGGTCGGCCATTTTTTTTTTTATGTATCTACGTGCTGCATAGCCGTATTGGTCTCCAATTGTTTCAAATCTTTATCCGTAGGTTGTTTTTAAATGAAACTGACCAATAGCATCATTTTAAAAATGCGCCAATTGTTCTCAGCGCTAGTTCAAAATCTTTGACTCTTTTTTTTTTAAATCAACGATGCTTTAGATTTGCGTCTCTGTTTTTGTTGTCATCTTATCTTTCCCTGGTTCAAAGTTTGCGCACACTTTTGATTCGGGATTTGAGGTCATTACTACGGATTTCAACTTCGTTATGCCGGATGTCAACTGGTTATTGCTAGATGTCCACTGTTTATGTTGGATGGTGTCTGGTTATGAATGATGTCGACTGGTTATGATGTTTTACCTCAAAAAAATGTGTCTGTAAAAATAAGCAAACATCATTACAAAAGGGGTTGTTATTTTAAATTCTAGAACAGAGGCAGTAAATGATGTGTGCAGGGCAAGGCCATCTCGTGAAGTTTGTACTAGCACTGGGGCTAACTTAAGGCCTTATCATGTATAACCCTTCTGATTTATTCGTTTACTCGTTGATCTATATTCATTATTTCAAGCCGCGGCGTACTTTTAAGCCACACTTTAATTCTGTACTCAACTAACCCAAGGGACAGAACGGTCTATCAAAGTGGCAAAGTAACTTGTACACTTTTATAATTTGCAGCAATGAACTGTATGTAAATATATGAACGTCAGTCATCTACTTTGAGACGTGACCTTTGTGACCTTTATTAGACATGCAATGCGAATAGTTATTGTATAAATCATAGATTAAGTTTATTTATTTACTGTTACATTGCGGTATGGTACGATTTTGAGGTGGTGAAGTACTATTCTGAGGCTGTGTTGTACTATATTGAGAGTTCCAGTGTATCCAGGTCTTCACTGCATATAGCATGCTAAACGTAGGTCAACATTCGTTCAAGCTTTGTTTAATCTGGGTCAAATATAAAATTAGCCTATAAATTATAATTGTGGGTAAACGAAACATGTCAATGTTGATCAATAAGAAAGCGAGTTTCAACGAAAATGTATGATTTAGCGGAACAAAGTGTTCCTTCAAGGCTTATGTCTGGATATTTTACTGGGCCATACCGATACAAAATGCATAGGCTAAGGTCAAATATGTCTAGGTGGCCTTGTAATTATATCTTAAAAGCAAAGGGCCCCCAATGATCTATTTTGCATATTAGCCCACCCCCCCCCCCCCCAAACTACTTTAAAATAAATTTTTAACAAATTAAAATTAATTTGTAATTAAAATTCAAAGTGTTCCTTCAAGGATTATGTCTGGATATTTTACTGGGCCATACCGGTAAAAAATGCATAGGCTAAGGTCAAATATGTCTAGGTGGCCTTGTAATTATATCTTAAAAGCAAAGGGCACCCAATGATCTATTTTGCATATTAGCCCACTCCCCCCCCCCCCAAACTACTTTAAAATAAATTTTTAACAAATTAAAATTAATTTGTAATTAAAATGCTAAAAGTTGAAGCATTCAAAAGATGTGTATCTACTAAAACTCACGATAATCTCTTTCCCCCATCAGTTTTCGATGTTCACAGAAAGTATGCGCGAGCGAGTTTTGAAATATCGAAACCTATCGGTTTCGGACGAAAGGTCTCTGTCTGGTTTCGGTTTCGGCCGAATTAAAATAATCACTTCTGTCGGTTTCTAACTTCAGGGCAATCTCCTCTCCATCCTCTCTACTTAACCCCACAGACACTTCTAGGAAATCGCACTGATAAAACTTACTTAGAGTATAGACACCCCCCCCCCGTACTCACACAAGGTAAAAGGACACTTGTAAAACGTTATTAATACTTATTAATAATGGACTGAGTGAGTCACCTTTGTTGTGTTGTTGCTTTTATCTTTGAAAGGTCTCTGTCTGGTTTCGGTTTCGGCCGAATTAAAATAATCCCTTCTGTCGGTTTCTAACTTCAGGGCAATCTCCTCTCCATCCTCCCTACTTAACCCCACAGACACTTCTAGGAAATCGCACTGATAAAACTTACTTAGAGTATAGACCCCCCCCCCCCGTACTCACACAAGGTAAAAGGACACTTGTAAAACGTTATTAATACTTATTAATAATGGACTGAGTGAGTCACCTTTGTTGTGTTGTTGCTTTTATCTTTGTATTTGTTTTGAAAATACTATAAGACTTATCCAGTTTTTACAATTTTCCAGTTCAAGAACCAACATGCACCACACTTTTAAGGACTAAGCAAGTCTGTCGTTCTTCGCACCATTGATGGTGTGAAATATGGGTTCAGTTATAAACAAAATATAAAATAAACCAATAATGACTCCTTGCCATGGTAAAGGTTTAGTACCAAAAAAAAAATGTAAACGACCACTAAAATCTAAGGGGTTTTTTCTCCATATAAATCCTGTCTTTTTAATTATCTTATGTTAATATTCTTATGCCCCATACGATTTTACAACACAGATTTAATACACCAAATACTTCGGGGGAAAAAAACAAGAAAATATTACGCACCAAACGCACTTGCGATATTGTTGTTGTTGTTTTTTAAATAATCTCATTTAGCGCAGTAATCGGGAATTTTAATTTCGTGAAATCAATAGCATCATATTTTCTTCATCTTCTCCTTGACAGCTGAATTTTGGGCGTTTGGGTGGGGGTGGGGGCTGAAAATTCAATAGGATGTGTAGTCATCGGCAAAGAATCCATGCGCCAAATTTCAGCTCGATAGGCTGATGGGAAATGGGTCAGTTGGCAAATCCAATCTACATGCATAGGAGCCAAAATGATCAATAAATTGATCGTGGCCCTTAAGATATAGAAGAAGAAGAAGTTGGCCCTCCGAAGATTTTGCTACACACCCAGGCAGAAAGAAACACACGAAAAGAAGCGAAGTTAATATAAAGGATTTTTTTTTGTTAAAGTAAGTGTTGTGTTTCTATTCATCTTTGCACAACAAGGACTGTGTCATCGCATGCAAACTTCCACTAGCGGACCCAGTTTTCACAACTCGGACACTAAATCTCTAAATTGGGCCTGCACAACATACGGCCCGCGGGCCGCATGTGGCCCGCCAGCACCCACTTTGTGGCCCGCAAGGTAACGAAAAACTCTTTATTCTTATTTTTTTTCCTTAATAGCCCCCCCCCCCCAAACCTGTATTCTTTTGGCCCGCGTTAGTCCTGTCCTCTTTTCTTTCGCCCTGCACAAGTTTTTTATAGTGTAGTACGGCCCGCCTTACATTTTGAGTTGTGCAGGCCTGCTTTAAATACAAGCAATGCACCCTGAAGCAGTTTCTTGCGGCCGGGGCGTGTGGGTGAATCAGGACCCGCAAGTTAATTTCTTGACGCCATTGCGGGCTCGAGTTGAGCATTCACTTCAAAACAGAGCTGTTTAGAGTAGCATCTATCAATAAAATGTCGGGAACAAAATCCCTTAACACATCAAGAGATGATATGAATGGCATTGGTTATAGTAGAATTAGAGTATCATAATTTCTTGAACCAAAAAAAAAAAGAGTTAAATAGTGTCTTGATAATTAGGCAGCAGATGCGTAACAGGAGGATGAAAAGTGTGTGTGTGGGGGGGGGGGGGGGCTTTGTTGGTATTTTATTGATGGAAATAGAGTTTAGGGGGTGTAAAAATGAATCTTGTCTCCTAAATTAGAAAGAGGCATGTGGATTAATTGAAAAAAAAAACATTGTTTTAATAACTAGGTATTATTTAGACATTTCAATCAGTTTCTTTATGTCCAGAAATCGTTTTTTTTTAATGAAAACGTTTTAGATTTTGTGTAATAAACTTAATTCTGTAAATTATTGGGGGATTTTTTTGTTCTTTAGACGTAAAATTCCCCCGTGATCAGTCAAAATATTCAGCAGACTTCAAAAGTAAAAAGATAAAAACATAATTAAGTAAGAAGAAAATTATAAAAAGAGAAAAGAAAAGTGCATAACGATGAGGACATTCGGCAATTAAAATTGAAAGAAACGATCTTTATAATATATACGTCATGTGCATGTCATTATTTTGTCATGGGTTGTTATGATTACTTTGTGCTATAAATTACAGATTACTTAGAATTTTTTTGTGTTCCCATTCTTTCGGGGGGGGGGGGGGTGGGGGGGGGGGTCACACTCTGCAGGTGACTCGATTTAATATGTGCATATTTTTTAGCTTTCTTAATAGTTAATAGTTTAGATTTTTTACAAAGTTTTCTTTGGATTCAAGGCGTATTGAATCTGTCTTATCTGCTTTGTCTGATAATCGTGTGTTTTTGATCGCAAGGAACAGTGGTTACATGGATTTTTTCGGACATCGTTGCCATAACCCAAGACAATCCCAAAACCGCCATATTGGGAAAGATTGATACGCCACCTTGTAAACAAATTAAATGGCAAGATCAAAACAACCATCCCAATACAAATCGGCTACAGACAAAAGGATCTTGGAGAGGAAAAACGAGAGCTCCGTTTAAACAAAAATCCAAGAATCTGCTCTCACTCAAGAACTCAACAGTTGCTCTTACCGTGACAATGACACGCCGGATGTCTTGCTACGGAATAATGTTAATGAACAACGAAAAACTCAAACAAGCATTTCCAGGACTGAAAAATATATGCGCTATGAATGAAACAAAAACAAATTCCATGTATTAATGATTGGAATCAAAAAAAATATCTTATCTTAGCTTATTTAAGGGATCAACTGAGTTGAAACAAATTATGTGTAATATTTGATTAAAGAAACATCCCTCTTTTATTGTTTGGTCATTGTTGGCATGAATAATCCTTATTAGATTCTACACGCTAACACATCGAAAAATTAATTTTAACTTATCCACACTGATAAGTTAAAACACCACAAAAAAAAAAAAAAAAAAAAAGATTTACTTTAAAGTTTAATTTAAAAATTATTTGCATCCTTGTAGTTGCAGCAGTTACCGGCCAGATGAAAATATTTTATTTTAGTTAAAGGATTTAATAGCTTTTAATGTATTCACTTTGCCCATTTCATCTTTATTTCCTAGATGCTGAATAGTTCGTCATTCCCTTTAATTTTTCACTGTTAAGTTTGAATTTAGTGTCTTTATTTGTAAAATTATTTTAACTGAATAAAATTCTTTGCTCTCTTGGCTACCGTTCTTGTCCTCGGTCAGTAGTTGACCTATAAATGTGACATATTATATATATACCCCCCCCCCCCGGGGGGGGAAATCAAGTGCCCTCGGAAGAAAATGGGTAGAAACAATAGAATAAATATTATAAAATTAAAAAGGGCTAAATTGTCATTTTTAATAGTAACTAATGCTTTATCCGATTACAATTTGCGGGATCAATTAAATATCACTCGATATATTTGATGATCCGTATATTTAAGGCTAACTTTGTTAAAGAAATACAGTGTACAGTATTCGATTAAAATATTGTATTGGCCACTTCTGTTTATAAGCCGGAGTCTTACTTCCTATTGTTCGCACTTATCGGTATTTTTATGTATTTTATTTTTTTTTAATTATTTTTGTGTGTGTGCAAATCCACACATTTTAAGACTTTAATAACACTGTATTAAAATACCTCTACATCAAGATCAAGGTCTACAATTCTAATATTTTTTATTGCCAAGTATCAAACATACGTAATCTATGTTAAAATTATAATTCATTATAAATAAAAGAATTACTATTAAAGTAGGGATAGGTGTTACTTATTAATTGAATGATGCTTCTAGCCTTTAAAAATATTTTTTATTGGGCATAACCATAAATGTACTCGATTCCATGAATGTTAAGTTATATAAAAGGGACACTTATAAAATTGAGAGATGTTTTTTTTTTTAAATTAAGAATTTAATGGGCACATACACATAGTGCAAATTTCATTAATTATCATATCGAGAAAATTTGTGTTTTCTTTAACTGTGCTACGTTTATAACAGAGTTTTTAAAAAATAGTTAGCCAAAGTTTTTTTTAAAATTCCCACCAGCTTTATCTTTTTAATATTAGAATATTACTCAACGGTGATGCACCATCGTCTCACGAGACGGAAGGATGCCGATTATATATTAGAATAATAAACAAAATGACCCATCTGCAAGGATTGTTTATAAAAATAATATTTTTTTCAAGATGAGAATCAATCAGAAAGCTAAAACGAACTTATTTTCTTTAAAAGCACAAATGTTGACCTGGCCTTTCCAAATATTTTTTTCATTTGCGTTTAACATATAAAATGATGCTAGCATTGCTTTTTTGTGATTGAACCTTTTTTTCTTCTGAAATTCATTTAATAACTATGTAGATAAGTCCCAAAAAGATTATTTTTAAAAAAAAATAAAATCCACATAACTATTTAGTAATATACAAAAATATTTGCATAACACTAGCAGGTCAAGTAGAGCTGTCGCTCGACTTTTCGAGGTCCCTATTGCCACTTTTTTTTTGTATCTCCCACTTTGCATTGAAAGAGGATAAGTAAGAAAATATTCAAATCACATCTTAAAGCCGCTAATATATCCGAGGCCCATTGGGGTAGGGTTTGCTGGGCTCACACGATATTTCTAAGGTTAAGTGACACATTAAAAAAAAAAACAAGCAACTCGTCCTTCGCTCTCCAAGTGTAGAATTTGCAAAACTAAATTTAAGTATTTGCTAAAATGCATTCTTGTATTTTGAATTTATCAAACATTTTTCTGGGAACTAGTATACAGTTTTAAAGGCGATATTAAGTTAGGGTATATGCATACCCTCAAGGGAACCAGGAGATCACGGCTGGAGTGAATTTAGATCATGCCCTGCTGATGCGGCGTTAAAGATGTCTTTGATCTGTATAATGTCTACTTTTGGCGATACCCACACGAAAGTTCTGGAAAAAAAACCTCTGAATTCAAATATGCGCCAAAATTCACCCTTTCATTTTGAATTTGCATGCAGCTCCCTCAATTTCTGCACCCCTTCCCTCAAGCTTATCAAACGTTAAAGTATGGGGCTTAATAGGATCTTGTGCCAAAATATTACCCTGGGGCACGCCACAACTAAAGTGAGTTCAGTTTATACATGGCACTGGCACCATAATGCATCACCAGACCCTTAAACATCTAACTCCCTTGATCAAAATAGAAACCTTGAATTAAACTATGCTCTAAGATGCACCTCTTGATTTTGAAATAATAAAAAAAAAATTCTGGGGCTCCCCAGACCCCTCAACCGCTCAAAATTCATCTTACTTATGTTATGTAGTACACTTTTCGCGGGCTTGAACTTTGTTTCACCCCACATTAGATCCTTAGCAGACGGTAGCGTTGTGGGCGTGGCCTATTCGTTTGATGTATCTTGTTTACAACCGGCTTCCAATTAAACATAGTTAGTAGGTCTACTAGTATCTTGTCGAAGGTTCTCGATTGAATTAGAAAAGTAAGGGCGTTTCTAGACGCGTCGGTAGACCCACATATATAAGGGATTGACAGGCACAGAGAGAGAGGCGGAGATGGATAGATATTTTTAACCTCACGAGACGTGTATTATTCTGTGTGTTCTTATATGTGCTTATTCGCATTGATCATTCATCATTATTCATTGACACATTGTACTAACTGTGTTAATTGTATACCGATACAAGATCTACCATACTGTAAGTTGATGATTTGTAATGATATTTGTTTTATTTTATAATTGTATTATTACTAAATTAAATCTTATTAATTGTAATTGGCAACTGTTTTGGGTGTCGTAATTTTGTTAGTATATTTATCTATGGTATCGTCCTTTGTTGTGCACTGTTTGAAAGAGCCATAACTTAAAACAAGAGATTAATTTCTCACAATAGAAGACAGTGCGTAACACTTACTTCTGCCTTTTAGCCCAACTTGAGCATAAGGCGTCTAAAAGAATTTTTCCATTCAAATCTGTCATGTGCTTTCCTTTCCAGGTGCTTCCGTGTGTATCCCATACTTTATGGATCTGCTTCTAGCTCGCATCTCCATCTCTTTTTTGGGGGGCTTCCTCTCTTTCTTTTCCCTTGTGGATTTAATGTGATTGTCTGGTGATGTTATCTGTGTGGTTTGCGGTGATTGAGCCCTATCCATCTCCATCGTTTCCTTATCATGCCTTCAGCAATGGGCCCCTGGGATGTCCTATCTAGTAAGTCCGTGTTGGTGATGGTGGCCAGTTGATGCTCAGGATCTTTCTAAGGCAAGTATTTATGAAGGTCTGTACTTTCTGCGTAATGGTAGCTGTTGTTCTCCAAGTTTTGGATCCATACAGTGGGACTGTTTGACTTTTGTGTTAAAAATTCTGACTTTTGGTTTGAAAAGTCAGCTCCTTTGACTCCCATTTTTTTCCTTTAAAAGCACAAATGCTGACCTAGCCTTTCCAATTCTAGCAATGACATCCGTTTCGGATCACCCCATTTAAGTCAATGGTTCTCCTTAAGTATGCAAAGGCCTCCACTTCTTCCATTGCTTTTCCTACCAGAACGAGAAGCCATTGGTTGGCTGAGTTTACCTTTATGATGATTGTGTTGCTTTTATTGATATATACAAGCAAGATTCATCGGCGCCCTGAATTTCTACCCTACACCCCGATGAAAATGATCGAACGTTTTGGTGACGATAGATGCACTGTCTAGCAGCGCAACTAATATTAGGACCAAAAGGGGGGCCACTCTCCCTTTCACGATACAATCTGTGCAGTTGTCCGAAGCGGCGTAGCTGGAGTGTTTTGTGTGATGGAACATGTTTCATTTTAACACCACCCCCACCCCCACCCCCACCCCTAGCTGGAGTGTTTTGTGTGATGGAACATGTTTCATTTTAACACCCCCACCCAACTCAGAACCCCTGAGACTAAATATTTGCAACGATTAAATACTATCAAAGCCCATTTTGGTTCCCCCCCCCACCGCTACTTTGGCGCCCCGTGACGCATGTCCTCTCTACCACCACTAGCTACGCCTCTGGCCACTGGAAACTGGCACTGCCCCTCCCCCAAAAAATCTGAAAAGCACCCCCGCCCCCCAACCGGGGAACAATGTCTGAAAGAAACACTGATATCCTCCAACTGTGTTTAAGCCATGTTTTTGTGTGACAACTGATAATGCTTATGATATAATACAATTCTTTAGAACAATTGTATTGCAATGTGTAAACAAAAAATCCGTTCATCTACAAACAAGGAATAGGAACGATTAAAAAAGGGTTAAAAAATTTAAGTTTTAAATTTCAAAAGGGGGGGGGGGGGGATAACTATACGGGTCATTCAAGATAATGTTGAAATTCGCTTGGAATAAAACCAAAAACCAAATCATTAAAAAAGTTTTGAATAATATAACAAATAAAATAATTACTAATAAATGTTCATAGCTTGCATGTGTTTTATTTTTTTCGACTGTCCAATTATTCAAGACACATAATTACTCAAAGAACTGTGATGACAAGGATATGAATCAGCTGATGAAGAAGCTTCATCAATGCATGACCCGGGTTTCTCGTGAAAATATTCGACCACTCGCCTCAAAACCAAATCATCCATGATATCCATATCCCTGGCTTGGAGAGATCTTAGCGATTCCAACTCCGCTCCTGAAGGCATGTTGAGTCTCGCGACGGGCAAATCCCGTTTCAACTCGATCGCGTAAATACTGGAGTGGAACTCATTATACATACACCGCAGTGCGGGCTTCCAACTGTGTGGTGGTCTGCGAAGCATCAACATGTACACTGCTCTGTACTCTTTCATATAAAATGCGTAGATCGGCACGTTGACCACAGAGTTCGTGAAGGTCAACAGAAGGGCCGAAACCCTCATGATCTCGATGTTCTTTTGGGAGAACACGTTGTAGTACTTGAACGGCGCCACCAGCATGGACGGAGTCAGCAACACGATGAACAGAATCATCAGAAACGATGTCATCTTGACAGAGCTCATGTGATTTTTGTATTTTCGAATCTCTTCTGGATGCAAGCTTGAGATCGTGCTTCTAAAGGACCGAGCCTGTCGCTGAGAGACGATTATTATGTGGACGTAGAGAATGGTGCATATCAGGAGAGTGGTTAAGACGCTGCCGAAAGTGGCAATGATGACGTATGATTTGGACAAGGTCACGTGAAAGTTGCAACGCGCCGTCAACGGCAGGAGTGTCGGGTCGTACTGGTTCCAATCAAACATTATCGGTGCGAAGGCCAGAAGCGACAATGCACACCACATACAAATAATCGCTTTGATTGTTCTTGACACCCTCACGATCTGTTGGTACCTCAGTGGCCACATCACGGCGATGTAACGGTCGGTGGTGATAAAAAACAGGCTGGCCACTGAGCCTCCAAGGCCGATCTCAATCGATGCAAACCAGGTCAGGCACACGTACTTGTTGGTAAAGACGAACTTATACGTGTAGGGGAGATAACTGAGTATGTACATGGGTAAACAAAAACATCCGGTCAAAAAGTCCGCTATGGACAGGCTAAGGAGTAAATAGTTGTTTGGATTGTGGAAGCCTGGGTAGAGCATGGTTCCCCAGAACGCAAGGGAGTTAAAGCAAATGATGATAGGGATGTATGCGGCACAAACGCCCACCAGGATGTAGTGGGCCAGAACGACGTCTTTATCTTCAAGGAACAGTAACCTGGTGTCGACGGAAGAGTTCTCCCCATGGCCAATCAAGAACATAACATCCATCTGGTCAACCATTTTTTATATACCTAAGTACAGCATAGCCGTATTGGTCTCTTAAAGTTTCAAATTATTTTTAAAATGTGCACATTGCTCTCAAATTTACTTTAAAGTCTTTGACTCTTGAAACTAACGATGCTTAAGATTTGCGTCTCTGTTTTTCGTTGTCATCTTATCTCCTCCTGGTTCAAAGTGTGTGTGCATCTTTGATTCGGGATATGAGTCATTGCTACGATTGTCAGCCGATTATGCAGGATGTCAACTGGTTATAATAATAATGATAATAATTAGTGGTCTTTTATAGCGCGGTACCCCAGCCTCGGGCTGGGCTCACCGCGCTGTACATAAAAATATTATCAAAAGAGACATAATCGATGCAGGATGTCAACTGGTTATGATGCTATACCTCAAATTTCCCTGTCTGTAAAATACGAAAACATCATTACAAACAAGATTTTCTTAAGTTAATATCTTCAGTTAAGATTTCAATGTAATTGATAAGGTAATCATTTTTAACTGATTAAATTGTATAATCGGTAGGCACCAAAGTGTCATATTGTCAGCGAAGATGCCTTAGTATGTTGTTTTAGATCGAATTTAACCAATTTTTAAGAATTCTTTTTAAATTAACTCTCGGAAAATCTGATTTTTTTTTTAAATGTTTTAAAATATCACGTGCACTTGATCTTGCTCTAGCTTCAAAAGAAACGTTTTATATTTATAGCGTTAAAATGATTCGCCAAAAAATAGTTCAGAATCTCTTTAGAGAAAATCAATATCTTAAATTATAGATAGAGCAGCGCTCCTATTAATTTAACAAATCAGAAAGTATGTCCTCCTTGGATTTTTCCCAAAATACTTTTAAAATTCCTAAAAGCAAGCTTCTCTGCATCACTTCGAAAGTTGAATCAAAAAATGGATGAAATAGGACAATGACAACATACTTCATAAAATAACACGTCTAATAAATAAGGACAATGACAAAATACTTCATAAAATGTCTGATAAATAAGGACAGTGACAAAATACTTCATAAAATGTCTGATAAATAAGGACAATGACAACATACTTCATAAAATGTCTGATAAATAAGGAAATGACAACATACTTCATAAAATGTCTGATAAATAAGGACAATGAAGAACTACTTCATAAAATGTCTGATAAATAAGGACAATAACAAAATGCTTCATAAAATGTCTGATAAATAAGGACAATGACGAAATACATAGAACTGAGCAAAATTAAAGCTTCTTGCCCTTTGGTGGGTTTTTTTGTTTTTTTGGGGGGGGGGGGGGGTGGGGGGGGCTAAAATACAGAATACTTATTCAATACCAAAAGAATCGTTAGAGGGAGAGTTTCAAAATATGATGTTAAGCAAAATGGTCTAACACCTGACCTCCCATGACCTACAAATTAATAATACCTTATCCAACTATTTAAAAAAAAAAATCAAAATCAAAACTGCTCGTGTTTTATTAGGTTACAACTTTTTCTGCTTCTTAAAATTTGAGCTGCTTTTTTTTATATTATTTTTTGTTGAACACATTCAGAAAATGGGTATTAAATATATGATAATCAACGTACAACACATCACCTTAACGACATACGGAACTGATGAGAGTTCTTGTGATCATTGCAGCGGACTGTAGGAGATGACGCAAGGATCATTCTTAATTCAGCAAATCGCCATCAGCGCCAAGTATCCAACACCGCGAATTGCATAACTGAAACAATGGGAAATCTCCCAATAGTTTAGATCAGGTGCTGAGGCTATGGTGACACTGACCAAATGTAAATAATGGGGTGCATTTTGGCGCATAAATGAATTCGGTGTTGCTCTTAGACAATTTTAAGGGGCATCTTATTAAACTTTCGGGTGGGAAGTACGAAAATTAACGATAATAATGATCAAAGACATCTCTAGCGTCGCACCTGCGGGACCTGAACTAAATTCATTCCAGTTGTGTCACCCTTGAGGGTATGCTTTTGCCCTAGCTTAATCTCGCCACTTTAAATCTTTATAGTCCCCAGAAAATTTTTGATAAATTCAAAATACAAGAATGCATTTTAGAAAATATCTAAATTTAGTTTTGCCAAATTCTACACTTAATTGGAGAGCAACGGAAGATACGCTAGTTAAAATAATTTGGTGTCACTTAACCTTAGAACCATAGTGAGAGCCCATTAACCCCTACGACTATGGGGGCTCGGATATCTTAGGGGCTTAAAGATGTGATCAGGATATTTTCTTAATGATCATCTGTCAGTGGAAGTAGGGTGAGAACAAACCCGAAATGTGGCAGGGGGTCTTCAAAAGTCAAACGACGGCCCTGCTTGTGTTATACAAATATGTTTTGTATTAATAAAAATTCATGGGGCTTTTAATATTTATTAAATTTAATTAGTAAATACATTTTTTTTAAATCCATCACTAAAAAGCACTGTAAACATTATTTTACATGTTGAACGCAAATTGGGGAAAAGCTTACTTATAAAATTACCTATTCTAATATTTCCAAATTTTACCGCAGTCAAAAAGGAAAAAAAAAAAAGTTATTTAGAAAGGTCTATACATTTTTATGTGTTTTAAAAACTGGCCATTTTTATAAATCGTATATAAATGGCATAATTATATAAGGAACGAATGGGTTGTTTATAAAAGACATGATTTATTTATTAGTGTGTGATTTTTAACTGAGGGAAATAGTATCAAAATAATCCAAACTCAAGTTAACATTTTCAAATATTTAGTTGATTGAAATTTTTATTTGGAATTTTATGCTATTATAATTTTCTTCAGATAAATTACACATTGCCTCTTCGCTAAACTTTAAAACATTTTTTTTAAGCAAATCCACAAAATTTATTTTAATTTGACGATTTGGGCATAAGAAATTTTCCTTTATAAAAGTTCCCAAGTAATGTAATTGACATGATAATCGAAATGCTAGTTCACAAAAATCGTTTTTTTCTTAGCTCTCTGTTAGATTCTTGTCTAGAAAAAAATATTTTTCTTTAAAATCTGTTTAAATAAGTGTGGCAGTTTGTTTATTATTCTGATATTAAAAACTCAAAAGCAGGTGGCAATTTAAAAATCAATGCTAAGTATTTTTTAAACTCTTTTTTCAAGAAACTTTGTTATAAAAGTTTTTTAAATTTACGAAGATATACACTTTTGAATTAATGAAAATTGATGAAAACTGAACTATTTGTAAAATAGTTAAATTCTGAATTAAGAAATAAATAATATATATTTTTTTTTTTAAAGTTTTGTGGGTTTCATTTTATCTAGCTAAACATACATGGAATCGAGTACATTTAAAATTATGCTAATAACAATACTTTTTAAAAGTCTAATGTCATCATATAATATATAATTAACACTTATCCCAACATAAAAAGTAATGCTTTTAAAATGAAAAATAATTTTAAAATAGATTTGTGATACTTGGCAAGAACAATTTTTTGATTTGCAGACCTTTTCATCGATGTAAAGGTATTTTATTACAGTTTTATAGTATTTAAATTTGTGAAGAACAACAAAAATAGATAAATAAAAATACCGATAGATGCGAACAACACGAAGTAAGCCTGGAGTGACCTCTACGATACTTGTAACCGAATACTATAAGCATCTAACGAGATCAAATATATCGAGCGTAGCGATATTTTATAGTTTCCACTTACTGTAATCGGTTAATGGCCCCTGTCACCATGCTTATTAAAACTTTTTAAAAATGACAATAACATTTTTTTATATATATATATATTGTTGTATAAATTTTGCTCCGGGGGGGGGCACTTGACTTCCCCCCCCCCGAGAGAAGCCTGAAGGAAACACTGGATCAAAGGAACCAGATTAAGGGAGAAGGGAGTTGATGCTGACGTGAGCAATAGTTTATGTTAGTAGGCCCTACATGGTCAACACAATAGTCTGGAAAACCAAGGATACTGTGGGAGGTCATATTTAGCTTTGAGAAAAGCTGGCATAACAGATTGGGAGGACATTGTGAGCTTTGAGAAGAGATGACATGACAGATTGGGAGGACATTGTGAGCTTTGAGAAGAGATGGCATGACCGATTGGGAGGACATTGTGAGCTTTGAGAAGAGATGGCATGTTAGATTGGGAGGACATTGTGAGCTTTGAGAAGAGATAGCATGACAGATTGGGAGGACATTGTGAGCTTTGAGAAGAGATGGCATGACAGATTGGGGTTACATTGTGAGCTTTGAGAAGAGATGGCATGACAGATTGGAGGACATTGTGAGCTTTGAGAAGAGATGGGATGACAGATTGGGAGGACATTGTAAGCTTTGAGAAGAGATGGCATGACAGATTGGAGGACATTGTGTGCTTTGAGAAGAGATGGGATGACAGATTGGGAGGACATTGTGAGCTTTGAGAAGAGATGGCATGACAGATTGGGGGGACATTGTGAGCTTTGAGAAGAGATGGCATGACAGATTGGGGGGACATTGTGAGCTTTGAGAAGAGATGGCATGACAGATTGGAGGACATTGTGAGCTTTGAGAAGAGATGGGATGACAGATTGGGAGGACATTGTAAGCTTTGAGAAGAGATGGGATGACAGATTGGAGGACATTGTGTGCTTTGAGAAGAGATGGGATGACAGAATTGGAGGACATTGTGAGCTTTGAGAAGAGATGGCATGACAGATTGGGGGGACATTGTGAGCTTTGAGAAGAGATGGCATGACAAATTGGGAGGACATTGTGAGCTTTGAGAAGAGATGGCATGACAGATTGGGAGGACATTGTGAGCTTTGAGAAGAGATGGCATGACAGATTGGAATTAATTTTACAATTTGCCTTGTAAACGTAAAATTCCTGAAAGACCCTGGGTATTCATAAATTGATTAGTACCAGGGGTGGAGTCCCTGGGTAGTGTTGGATTGATTGATTAGTACCAGGGATAAAGACCCTGGGTAGGGTTAGATTGATTAGCATCAAAGATGGAACCCTCCAAATGTTGCACGGGTATTTGATTATAAGTGGATAGAAACAAGATCTAGTTGATCGGGGTAAGGACATAGTCTGGGGGAAATAGTTCTAGAGCAGGTGCATTAAGTGATGTGCATATGCGGTGGCTAATAATTTAAGGCATAACTATTTATATTCTCTTCAGAATTATCAGAATGATCAGAATGATGTGATCGATTCCTTGTAAAAGTAAAACATTGAATCTTTGGTGAATCGCCGTTACAATTTGTATTCGATCATAAATAAGACACCCCCCCCCCGAACAACAACTAAACATCACAGCTAATTTTGGTTGTATAAGGCGAGCATTTTAAAAGTAAAACATTGAATCGTTGGTGAATCGCCATTACAATTTGTATTCGAACATAAATAAGACACCCCCCCCCCCCGAACAACAACTAAACATCACAGCTAATTTTGGTTGTATAAGGCTAGCATTATCTCACTAGCGTAGGGCCGTAAGTGAAATATTATATTGTAATTAATTTGTTATATATATTTTTTAATGAATTTCACAAGCTTCTTATTAAAGATTTCTATAACAGACCTTTCAAGCACCCATTGTGCAATTGGTATGGCATATCATTATCTCAATATTGTAACTTGCTGATTTATTTAATTTTAATTGCTCATTAAACTGTATTGATTATTTCTTACTATGTCGCGTTCTTTTAGCTTACGCTTTAACTCTGTACTCAACTAACTCACGGACACAATGGCCCCGCTTGAATTTTGGTGCCACCCCCTCCACTCCACCCCCTCCCCCACCCCACCCCCGGTCACTTTGCGGGTTGTTGGTTTTTTTTTAATCCCTGCATTCAAAGTTGATAGTTCAACATTTTCCCACAGAACAATGAACTAAATTATGGCCCCCCTTAAATATCCGAGCCCCTCCTGCTTCCACGGGTTTTGAAAGGCCAACGTGACGGCTCTTCTCATAGACCCAACAGTTTTATGACTTTACCAGTTACTGATAAATTAAATAAGATATATGTATTTTATGGGGGGGGGGGGAGTTTCTGAACCATTTCAACAGATGTCACATAAGCTTTTGTCAACTGAATGACAGATAATATTTTTTTTTAAACATGCAAGTACGAGTATTTTATGAATTACCTCAGGGTAATCTCCCCTTCATCCTCTCTTTCCTGCCCTCACAGAAACTGCTTTGGAAAGCGCCCTGGTAGAGCTTACTAGAGTGTAGCCCCCGTACTCACCACAAGATGGAGGGACGCTCGTTGAAACGTTTTTAAAACAGATCTTAATGATGGACTGTGGAAGTCAACGTTGTTGTGTTGTTGCTTTTATCTTTGTATTTGTTTTCGAACACTAATAAGTTTAATCCAGTTTTTACAATTTTCCAGTTCAAGAACCAACATGCACCACAAGGTGTAAGGGCCCTGTTGTTTTGCGCACCATTTGATGATGTGAAATTTGTGTTCAGTTATGATAAAATAAATCAATTACTCCTGATGCAATATCAAAGTTTTAGTAAAAATCAAACAACCCCTAATTTAACCCCTAATTTAACCCATAATTTAACCCCAAATTTAACCCCTAATTTAACCCTTAATTTAACCCCTAATTTAACCCCTAATTCACCCCCAATTCAACCCCTAATTTAGCCCTAATTTAACACCTATTTTAACCCCCAATTTAACCCCTAATTTAACAGGCAATTCAGGCTCATACCAGCAAGAAGCCAGTATAGGAGCTGCTCATTCCTGCCCAAGACAATCAGGGACTGGAACCATCTTTCAAAAGGAACGGTTGAGGCGACAACACTAGACACATTTGTGTCTATTGCCTCAAGCCTTCAAACCTCTAGTGCATAATTTCCTCATCACCACCAGTAACAGAAACATTGCAAATCTCATCTACATGCATAGGAGCCAAAATGATCAATAAATTGATCGTGGGCCCTTAAGATATAGAAGAAGAAGAAGCCATAATTTAACCCCTAATTTAACCCCCAATTTAACCCCTAATTTAACCCCCAATTTAACCCCTAATTTAACCCCCAATTTAACCCCTAATTTAACCCCTAATTTTTCTAAATCCTTTACGTGCTTTTTTAAAATTATTGTATTTTATATTCACATTCCATTGTCCCACCAGCTTTTACACCGCTGATTTCATTAGTCCACCAAACACTTCAGAAACACAAAAGAGATGATTACGCACAAAACGCCTCTGTTACCATTTTATCAAGCTACTATTTAACGTTTTGTTGTCGTTGTTTTTTTTTTTTTTTTTTTTTTTTTTTTTTTTTTTTTTTTTTTTTTTTTTTTTTTTTTTTTTTGTCTACGAAATTATGATACTCTAATCAGGACCGTCTTAACAACATAGTAGGCCCTGGGCATAGCAATGCACTGGGGCCCCCTTGCAATGCAACACACCTGGGTCGTGAGAAAAGGGGGAAAAAGGGGTACACTCATCCCATGCTCAAACAGTGTGTGTGTGGGGGGGGGGGAACAGTTCCTGCTCCCCACCAATTAGGAAATTGGGAATTTAATTTTAAATCCAATTAAATTGTCCCAATCTTTCAAAATTCATTAACAAGATGCAAGCATGATGCCTCTATAAGAGGGTCTCCTAGAAACGTGGGGCCCTGGACCAGTGCCCACGGGGCCCATGCCTTAAGACGGCACTGACTCTAATTCTTCTAAGATTATAGTTTAATGTATACCCTCTGTCTGATTTGTCAAAGGACTTTATTCCTTGAAATTGTATTGCTAGATATTACTTTAGATAGCTTCTGTTGATGTATGTGGAGGTAAATGTTCAACTCGAGCCCGAAACGGCGTCCAGAAAGTAACTTGGGAGTCCTGATTCGTGCCACACGCCCGGCGAAAAGAGACCGATTCAGGGTAAATGGCATGTATTTAAAGGTTTCGAGTCCGATTTCAGGAGTCGTGAGAACTGGGTCCGCTAGTCGAAGTCGGCGTTCGATTACATCGCCCTGGTTGTACAATTAGGAATAGAAATATAACACTCAAGTTTTGAAAATCCTTTATATTAATTTCACATTTGTTCGTGTGTTTCTTTCTGGCTGGTTGTGCGGTGAATTATTCAGACGGCTAACTGACCCACTCGTTGCCGATGACAGCACATTTTTACAAATGTTCAGCGCCCCCCCCCTTTCCTCTCCTAAGCAAACAACACCACCCCCCCCCACCAAATAATCAGTTTTCCTTGTTTTCAATTTCTATGGGAAGGTGAAGGATATGTGATGCCACTGATTTCACGAAATAAAATTTCCGCTAAATTAGATTCTTTTTAAAAGCACTATCGCAAGTGCGTTTGGTGCGTAATATTTTATTTTATTTTTCTGAAATAGTTGCTGAAGTAATTCTGCGGTGTCAAAGCTGGTGGGACGTTCAAATTCAAATACTGGTATTATTCAAGGGGATAGGTTGTTTTTGTTTTTGGTTTTTTTTTTTGTTTTTTGTTTTTTGTTTGTTGTTAACTTCCAGGCTTCCTTGAAGCGATGCGTCTTCTTATTTAATCAAACTTGTGATGTTTCTTGACTACTCTTCCCTAACACTGGCAGTGTTATGTCATCTGTATGCAACATACTGAGCGTTGTAGAGGATACTTAATACGATCCTTGAAAAGCCTATTTTCATAAACGAAATTTAGCACGCCCCTCTCCCACTTTTCCGAACTTTCCTGACCTCTGCTCACCATGAACACCTGCCCGTGTGTCCCCTTACCTAAATAAAGCATTCATGTGTCGAGCATTGTCATGGTTACTAAACATCTGACTAATTTGTTTATATTGTACTTTTCACATTTCGACAAAGAAACAAAATAGAAAGAGGAAAAAAACTTTTTTTATGTGTTTAATTTTTCAATTTGACAATTTTATTCTGCCCCCAATCCTACCGGTGGCGACGTCTTCATCTCAGCCTCTCGAGTCTCGGGTTTGTCGGCCGTATCTTCATGTTTACTTCTTGTTAGCGCCATCGCTCGCAGGTCTGAATCCGGTGACAGATGTCTCAGCACCTCACTCATCCGCCGGTCCTCTGAGTAAACGCTCGAGTTGAGATTCCTGTGGAGGTTCCGGAGCACCTGCTTCCACTTGCACGGCCTTCGGGACAGCATGACGATGTAGACTTTTCTGTACTCGACTCGGTACATGGCGTAGATGGGCGCGTTGACGATGGCGTTCGTGAAGTTCATCAGCAGGGCGGCGACTCTCAGGATCTCGGTGGTGTTTGGGGAGATCAGGTTGTAGTGCTTGAAGGGCAGGATGATCATGTAAGGCAGCCACAACAAGATGAACAGCAGCATCAGGCACGTCGTGATCTGCACGGAGCTGATTCGGGTCTCGAAGATGCGGATCTGCTTGCGGCTATAGGTGGACAGTCTTTTCCGAAATTCGCGAATCTGGCGCTGGGAGACGTATATGATCTGGGTGTAGAGGACGATGCATATCAACAGCATGCTCACGGTGATGCCGAATGTTGAAATGGAGACGTACCAGAAAGACAGCGTTCGGTGAAAGTTACAGCGGGCCGTTAAAGGCCTGAGTATCGGGTCGTAGCGGTGCCAGCCAAACACCATCGGGCCGAAGGCCAAAGCCAAGACGAAGAGCCACAGTAGAATAATCGCTCTGATCATTCGGGGCAAGGTCACGATCTGTGTGTACCTCAACGGCCACATCACGGCGATGTAGCGGTCGATGGAGATGAAAAAGAGGCTGCAGAGCGAGCTTCCCGCGCACAGCTCTATGGATGCAAACCAGGTCAGGCATGCGTACTTGTTGGCCAGGATGTAGTCGGAGGTGTAAGGGAGGTAACTGAGTATGTACATAGGTAAACAAAAACAGCCGGTCAAAAAGTCCGCAATGGCGAGGTTCATGAGCAGGTAGCTGCTTGGGTTGTGGAAGCCTGGGTACAACAAGATGCCCCAAAACACGAGGAAGTTACAACTGATGATCACAGGGATGTAGATCAAGCAGACTGCAACCAAGACGTAGTGGGACACTAGGACATCTACGTCCTCCAGAAATGTGGCCGTGTTGTCTTCCCGAACCACCTCAGAGCTCAGGAGCATCAGTTCGAATGCAACATACATAATGATCTGCTTGTCAGTGACGAAAGAACAATAACGTCCTCGCCTCCATTGAGCACGGGATGCTCGTAACCGACTCTGTGCGTTAAATCTTACGTCATAAAAGTATCTGTGTTAAGAAAAGGGAATAAGTCAGTGCCTGGCACACACATGCACCTAGCAGGCAAGTACAAGAAAGCCCGTCGCTGTCCAACTGAGTTAACAGTCCCTAAGTGTAAATGGTCCTACACATTGCCATTCCTTAAAATTGAGTTTAAGTTGAAATTGAAAGCATGTCTACATCACATCGTTCTGATAATTCATTGAAAACATATTAAGTGTATCTAATTGTCAGCCCTTTAAATTAGCAGGATTTATAAATGACAATGACGTGTCAGACATTTTTTCATATTATGAATGCCAGATTTTTTTTTTTAAGTTTTACGAATTAAAATATAATACCAGTATGAAATTAAAGTTATTTAATTTTTGTTGTCAGAAACTGGGTTCAGATATTCTGGGCAAGTGGAGTTCGGAGCTCTGGAGAATTCAAAAGCAACTTTCTTTAGGAACATTTACTTGAAACTTAACAAGGAGACAGTGAGAACGAAAAAACAAAAGATAAAATGTATCTCAAAATGAAAACGATGGACATGTAATAGTATGAGAATGTGTTCACTGTGTGTGTGTGTGTGTGAATGCGTGGGGAAAAATGCACGTGCAGGTCATCAGCCGGACACATGCGCACGACCAGCTCCTTGGTAAGTTGAAAGGTTACAGGTTAAGAGGGTTCAATGTTCAACCATCTGTGTCCAAATGACATGTGATATGAAGAGACTCCCATTGAATATATATTTTTAAACGGTATTACCTACGGAAAGTTTTTAACATTCTTTTACTCTTGACGGAACTATTGATTTTGTTTAATTGATTTTTTTTTTTCTAATTCTTCAATTTTTTTAATGGATTAAAAATATTTCAACTCTTGAAATTTCTTGCTTCAAAAAATTGCAGAAGTGGACAAATGGACAGCAAAAAGGAGAGAAGATTTTGGCTTGGTAAAGAATAAACGTTTATTTAAACATCATAATATTATGTAACATGCATACTACAATAATCAGAAATTGTTTGAAACGGAACGTTGTTGAGGTCATGTGAAATGGTGTCTTTGAATATTTTAATTACAGGATAAGGTTGGAACGAAAATCACTTTCCAAATTTTCTCATTTATAAATTGGCCTTTAATAAAAGTCGAAAGTAAAATGCAAGGTGAACTCATAGTAAATATGCGTATGGGGGGGGGGGGAATAAGTCGGATAAAAACTGAGTGCTTGATAATTATTGATAAGATTTGCGCATAGTTTTCCAAATTTTCTCATTTATAAATTGGCCTTTAATAAAAGTCGAAAGTAAAATGCAAGGTGAACTCATAGTAAATATGCGTATGGGGGGGGGTGGAATAAGTCGGATAAAAACTGAGTGCTTGATAATTATTGATAAGATTTGCGCATAGTTGGCAAGCTCCGACTGAATAATGGTACTGTGCCTGCTAAGGTATTGGGTTGAATACATTTTGCATTATGACCGACTGATCGTTCTATACTTAGCCAGACATGGTCGTATATACTTTTTTTGTTACTTGATAGATTGATCGTTCAGTAACTGGTCAGATGGGGTCGTATACAATTTATAAACATGCAGGACTGATTGTTGAGCACCTGGACAGGCATGACCGTATGCACTTTTGTGGACATGCGGGTTTGATTGAGTACCTGGACATTTAAGGCCATGTATACTTTTAGATACATGCTGGAGCGATCTTTAAGTAACTGGTCAGATATGGGTTGATTCCCGTTTTAAGGCACGCATGTCTGGCAGTTCATGATTAAAGCTTGATGTATTTTTTCTACCGGCCATTTGACTGTGAACCAAAGACAACAACCGCGGAGACAGGGGTCGCGAACACCTCAGACGCTCCATCGGATCCATTGAGTACAACCCGGAGTTGATATTGCTGTGCAGGGTGCGCAACGACTTCTTCCACGTCTTCGGCGCGCTGGAGAGCATTATTCTGTACACGTCTCTGTACTCCGTCCTATACACGGCGTAGATTGGCGCGTTGACTATGGCGTTGGTGAACGTCAATATAAGGGTGGAAACCCTCATGATCTCGATGTTCTTTTGGGAGAACACGTTGTAGTACTTGAACGGCGCCACCAGCATGTACGGAGTGAGCAACACGATGAACAGAAGCATCAGAAACGATGTCATGTTCACGGAGCTCATGCGACTTTCGAAAACGCGAATCTGATTTTGATGCAGGCTGGATATCCTTTCTCTGAACTGTCGTATCTGCCGCTGGGAGACAAATATGATTTGAAGGTAGAGAATCGAGCATATGAAGAGGGTGGTCAAAACGGTGCCGAAGGTGGCGATGATGACGTAGGTCTTGGTCAGCGTCTTGTGAAAGTTGCAGCGCGCCGTCAGCGGCAGCAGTGTCGGATCGTACTGGTTCCAATCGAACAGCATCGGCGCGAAGGCCAGAAGTAACACGAAACACCAATTGAAAATGATGGCTTTGATGGTCCGTCGCACCGTCACAATCTGTGAGTACCTCAGTGGCCACATCACGGCGATGTAACGGTCGATGGTGATGTAAAACAGGCTGGCGAGCGAGCCGCCCGGGCCGATCTCAATCGATGCAAACCAGGTCAGGCACACGTACTTGTGGGCGAAGACGAACCTACACGTGTAGGGGAAGTAGCTGAGGATGTACATGGGCAGACAGAGACACCCGGTCAAAAAGTCCGCCACGGACAGGCTGAGGAGTAGATAGTTGTTCGGATTGTGGAAGCCCGGGTACAGAACGATCCCCCAGAACACCAAGACGTTCAGGGCGATGATGAGCGGGACGTAGGCGGCACAGACGCCGACCAAGACGGAGTGGGCGAGACGGACATCCGGGTCCTCTAAGAACTGGCTGGAGTTGTCATAGTGGACGTGTGCGGAGCTGTTGAGCATTATCTCCCGTTGTCCGTCACATGACCTGCATTCGCTTCTGGATCTCAAAGAAAAAAATGTGGTTTTTTGCCTAATTGAGTGAGTGCAGATGGAGCTGGCGGACGATGTGAAATAATGATCTGTGAAAAAAATGTCTGGCTTGGTTTACTCAGTGTATATCAGTGTGGCTCGTGTTCTACTTTGGGGCCACCCATAAAAGAGGCCTGTCCATTAAATACATCACGCTATTTTTTAAAATATATTACCCTTCCCTTCCCTCCCCCACTGTCACAATCTGTTACAAATCTCAGAAATCCCCCCCCCCTTTTCTTTTTTTTTAAAAGTACGTCACACTTTCGAATTTAAAAAAATTGTTTAAAAATTAGAAACAAATTAAATTTTAATATAAAACACACTTTCTAATAAACTAGTCAATGTATAAAAGGGAAATAATCTTCTTTCAGTAGAAGAAATGTCGCATCATTCCTTTCAATTTCACATTTTATTTTTATGACCCAAAAATACTAACAAAAAAATCCCCCCTCCCCCCCCCCCGCCAT